TACCGATATACAGTCCTCATGGCCTATGGCTTTCCTTAAAGTCATAAAACCTGCGTCGCAACCAATCCATCACCAGCACCAACTCCACGGAAGCAGATAGGCGTGGAATGGAGCGCCGACGCCACTCCGGATAGTGGACTCCGCGTATCTCCAACAACACCCCTATTTGCCGAAATGGAGCAGACTTCAACATTGATGCTGAGTAGCTGAGACGTCTTCGACATCAACGGTACTTCAAGGAGAGTAACAGAATGAGACAACACATGATGGCACCAGAAGACCTATCCCAATATGTGCGCCCAGACACCGATGCCTACCGATGGCCTCCGTGCTAAACTGGACGTGCATAAGGTCATACTGGATTGGCTGTCACGAATGCTCATTTGGAAATGGGAGAGGACTATTTGGGAGTACCCCTAATATTCCCAAGTATCCTAACCCATCTGCGTGAGATATCTACGCAGCTGAGATTCCTTGCCTGAGCAACCACTGAGGGAAACTACTTGGCGCCGATTCTGGAAGTTACCAGCTCCGCGTTTGTGGTACCAACCCATCGCATGGTTTTGAACACAAGGGATACGCTGAGCAGCACTTTGCATGCGCTGTTGTACTCAAGGCAGTGTGACTAGCAGACCGCGTGGTGGACAGGGTTACTACTAGTGATTCTGCTCTCCATTCCGCAGCACTACGATGCCGAGTGGGTACGACTCGCGACAACAATACGGCATGGACCAGCATTCGACAGAAGCTGCATGTAACGGATACAACACTGCTACAGAAGCCGTACTATGACATGACTGCCATACCACCAACACTTGGTGATCTTCACACGTGGACCAGATGCGGGTAACAGCATGCACGGATCAGACAACATAGCCACTCATCTGCACGTTACTGCACACTGTTCCGACCATTCACATCTCCAACTCCGAATTGCATCTGCCCGTCCTGGAATTTGCCTACAAGTATGCTCCTGACGCCGCTACCGGACAGACGCTGTACTTCGTCTGTTACGGACGCCACCCGATCACACCACAACAGCTAACCATACCAGCCACAGTCCAACTGGCTTCCGATTTCATCGCCATCGTCCACCATCTTGTACATCGACCACACAAGCGCCCTCTTGGACATCCAACTTCAGCACAAGCACTTGACCCCTTATCACTACAGTCATCCACACCATAATCTCGACATCAGCCAACATCCATCCAAGCTTCAACCTTGCTTCTGCGGGACTACCCTCTTTGAAGCAAAGGTTACTTCATTCACCTTCCGCTTCCGCCTACCAGCCACTTGGAAGATCCATAACGCCTTCCATAATAGCTTCTTAAACCGTATCAAGACCAAACACGCCCTACACCAAATGCCAACCAGCGTCGTCGCCCGTGTTCATCCACGACATGGGACAACTACGTGCTTGGACACCGTCGTCGTCAGAATGGCACTCTGGAGCTCCTTCTTTGGTGGAAGGGTTCTGATCCTTCTGAGGCTGCGTCTCTGAATTCGACATGGGTAACGCCCGTCGTCCTCGTCTTCGCGCCTACCTTGTCAAGCAGGGTGTTACTTCTACCACCCAGCTTTGAGGGGGGAAGTGTGAGAGTACGACCCCGTTACACCAATTTCCCCTTTCCATATTTCCTTTCTATTTCATTCCTCTTTTTATCCTCATTCATTTGGTCTTTATCTCATCTCATTTGGTTTCCTATTCCTCCTTTGCCATTATCCTTTGGTCTATCCTGTTATTATAATTATATCACCGACCAGGCTCGGGATGTACTGGCGCGCTATATCTAGCGTAATCCTGTCGTAATCCCTTAAAGCCAATAGCCTCGCGTGGCTATACGCAAGGTGATTCTAATTCTAGAAGGGTCTATTTCCTTTGGATAGGATAAGCCTGGTTACCTGATGTAATCTGGAAGTATAAAACCACCTTGTACTGATTGATAGTGCAACATTGAGCAAACCTTTCCTCGACACATTCGATCCTGTGACATCGCCGATGCAGCCGTCGTCTTCCTCGCCTGTGCAGCAGTCGCCAATGCCACCATCGTCTTCCCCGCCTGTACAGCAGTCGCCGATGCCGCCGTTGTCTTCCCCACCACTGCAGCAGTCGCCGATGCCGTCGTCGTCTCCCTGCTCGTGCCGCCGCGGTCGCTGCAGCCGTCGTCTTCCCCGCCTGTGCGACAGTCGCCAATGCCACCGTCGTCTTCCTCGTCTGTACAGACGTCGCCGCTACTGCTGCCGTCGTCTTCCCCACTAGTGCTGCTGTCAGCAATGCCGCCGTCGTCATCGAGACGAATGTCGCGACCATGAGGTGCACGTAGCGCGGGCACGTTAAGATTAGGACCTTGATCCGCGTGTGTGGATAGGTCGCTCTGATACCATCTAAAAAAAACAGCTGAAATGATTGATTAGGTAAGGAGCCCAAGGCTCTATAAGTACATGGCAAGGTAAGGGAGAATGGATGAAGGGGGAATCGGAGGGAATCCCCATTATTAGGATCTCCGAAATCTCCAATTGGGTAATTGGAGATTTTGGGGGATCACAATTGGGTGAGGTTGGGATTTTGTGAGTACATCCCAACCCACTAGAACATTCCTAACCTAAACTAGGATATAAAAGTACAAATACAAAAGTAGGATTTGCAATCTATTTCTAACACACCCCCATAGACTGCAAAACCGGGTCAAGGAGCACATAGCCCCATGGAACAAAGAAGGCGATGGTGGTCAACCTTGCCAAGAGCCTTGGTAAAGAGGTCGGCGAGGTTGCAATCTGAGGCGATGTACCGTACCGTCAGCTGCTCACTCTGAACAAGATCTCGGATGAAGAAATGATGACGTTCAATGTGCTTGGTGCGTGTTACAGGATCGAATGTGTCGAGGAAAGATTGCACTATCGATCAGTACAAGGCGCTTTATACTTCCAGAGTACATCAAGTAACCAGGTTTATCTTATCCTAGGGGAATAGACCCTTCTAGAAGATAGAATCACCCCTGCGTATAGCCACGCGAGGCTATTGGCTTTAAGGGATTACAGCAGGATTACGCTAGATAGAGCGTACCAGTACATCCCAAGCCTGGTCGGTTGATATAATTATAATAGCAAGATAAACCAAAGGCAAATGGAAAAGGAAGAAATAGGAAACCAAATGAGATGGAATAAAAGAGAAATGAAAAAGGAAGGAAATAAGAAAGGCCAAGTGGTGTAACGGGGTCGTACTCTCACACTTCCCCCCCTCAAAGCTGGTGGGTAGAAGTAACACCCTGCTTGACAAGGTAGTCATGCAGAGGACGACGGGCGTCACCTGTGTCGAACTCAGGTACCCAGCTGTCCTCAGAAGGATCATAACCCTGCCAACGGATGAGAAGCTCCACGGTGCCATTCCGACGACGGCGGTGTGCGAGCACGGACTCGACCTCGTACTCGGGTTCATTCTGGACGAGGACGGGCGGTGGTGGCGGCGGTTGGCGTCCGACAAAAATCGTGTTCGGGTCCCGATAGGGCTTCAGAAGTTGGACGTGGATGGCGTTGTGAATCTTCCAGGTAGCTGGCAGGCGTAAGCGGAAGGTAATAGGAGTGACCTGTGCTTCAACGAGAAAAGGCCCCGGCAGAAGCGAGGTCGAAGTTTAGATGGGAGATAGCTGATGTCAAGGTTGCGGGTGTCAAGAAGCACCTGGTCTCCCACCGTGATGGTGTGATCGTTGCGATGGCGATCGGGCTTGGGCGCTTCTGTTGCTGTTGAATTGTCGAGTAGGCGCTTGTGGGTCCGATCCCAAAGCTGATGCATGGTTGTGATGAAATCATGTGCTGGTTGGACTGTAGCTGATGCCTGTCGGTTTGTGTGGTGTGAGTGGGTGGCGTCCGTAGCAAAGGAAGAACGGCGTCTGTCCAGTAAGCGGCATGTGTAGCATTGTTGTAAGCAAACTCAAGTACAGGCAGGTGCAAGTCCCATTTGGAGATCTCGTCCTTGCAAGCTGCTCGGAGGAGTTGCTCAACAATTTGGTTGAGGCGCTCCGGTCTGTCCGTCTGTCTGCGGATGGTAAGCAGATGACATGGCGAGTTTGGTTACGAGGAGAGACATAAGTTCCTTCCAGAACTTGCTGGTGAACTTAGGGTCTCGGTCGGAGATGAGTGTGGTTGGAATGCCATGCTGTGAGATGATTGTATCGAACAAAGAGTTGTGCTGTTTCTTCGGTGCGTGCTGTCGTGTGTGTCGGGATGAAGTGTCCCATTTTGGAGAACTTGTTAATGACGACAAGGATGGCGTCATGACCGCTGGAGGTAGGTGGTAACCCGGTGATGAAGTCCAGGCTAACCATTGCCGTGGTTGTTTTGGGACAGGAAGGGGCTGCAGTAGTCCCGCCTTTTTCTGCTTGGTACTCTTCATCCGCTGACATGTATCACACGAGGTGACGAATTTCTGTACATCTTCTGCCAAGTGGGGCCAGTAGTAGTGCTTTGCGATACCGGTCAGCGTCTTGTTGCTACCCGAAGTGTCCGGCGTACATGACGTCGTGGTATTCTTCGAGTAGTAACTGGCCAAAGGAGGGTAATTGGGTACCCCAGATTTTCGTTTATCCTTTCCGGTATGCGATGTCACTGTCCCACTGCAGCAGATGTCGCTTTTCTGCCAAGGGAATTTCGGGGTCGGTGGCGTACCCGTGTGTGAAGAGTCCCTTGAGTAGTGGATTCATCCCTTCGACCTGAATAGCGGCAACGTGTGCAGGCCGGCTGAGAGTGTCTGCTTTGTTCTTGTGACCGGGCTTGTACACGATGTCGTAGTGGAAGTGTGTCTCGAGGAAGTCGATCCACCGGACCTGCCGCCTGAAGAGGTTGGGTTGTGTCTTCAAGTATTTCAGGCTGCAGTGGTCGGTGTAGACGGTTGTTCTTCGTCCTTCGAGATAGCATCTCCACGCTTTGAAGGCGATAACGATAGCAAGGGCCTCTTTGTCGTGTATCGGGTAGTTTAGTTCTGCCCCGTGCAGTTTTTTGCTTAGGTAAGCAATTGGTTGCAGTCCATTCCCTTGATCTTGCATCAAGACTGCTCCCACTGCTTGGTCACTGGCGTCAGTTTCGATGACGTAGTCGTGTTCAGGATCTGGCAAAATGAGTACCGGTGCGGACGTAAGTGCTTGCTTCAGCTGCTCCACGGCTTCCTGGTGCTTCGGCTCCCATTTGTAGGGTGTGTTCTTCTTCAGCTGATTCGTGAGTGGTGCTGCGATTTTTGCCTACTGTGGTACGAACCTGTTGTAGTAATTAGCGAAGCCTAGGAACTGCTACAACTCCTTCACGTTCTCAGGTGTCTTCCACGTGCGTACGGCCTCGATTTTCTTGGGGTCGACGTGAACTCCTTGAGCGCTCACCATGTGTCCTAGGAACTGGACCTTCTCAAGGGCGAATTCGCTCTTGGGCAGTTTGACGTAGAATCGTTCTCGTCGAAGAATTTCGAAGACGCGTCGCAGGTGTTCGACGTGCTGCTTCATGTCGCGCGAGTAGATGAGTATGTCGTCCAGGTACACCACCACGCATTCGTCCAAAAGTGGTCGTAGAATGTGGTTCATTTCGGCTTGGAACGTTGCCGGTGCGTTGGTGAGTCCGAACGGCATTACCAAATACTCGTACGATCCGTACCGAGTTCGGAAAGCAGTTTTGTGGATAGAGTTGTCCGCCATGCGTATCTGCCAGTATCCGGACCGCAGATCCAGTTTGGAAAATACCGTAGCTCCCCAAAGCTGGTCAAGCAGGTCATCGATTCGCGGTATCGGATATTTATTCTTGATGGTCTGCTTGTTAAGAGCTCGGTAGTCGATGCACATGCGCAGGCTTCCGTCCGGTTTTCGGTGTGAAGAGTACTGGGGCACCGTACGGCGAAGTGGATGGTCGGATGAGTCCTTTGGCTAGGAGATACTCGATTTGTTTTTTCATGTCGGTCAGCTCCGTAGGGCTGAGCCGATATGGTGCTCGGAAGGTCGGCTTCGAACCCGGTTCCTCCACGATCTCGTGTTGATGCGTTCGGTATGGCGGTAGCTCATTCGGAAGATCGTCCGGAAGAATATCTTGGAACTCCTTCAATAATTCCTTGATCTTTCCTGGAGGTTCCGAGGTTCTCTCCCTGTCGTTCTCCGCCTGTGTTGCTATTGCGAGGAACCCTGTGTCGGTTCGCTTCACGTCCTTCTCAAATCGTGCGAGTGTCTCCACTGGGATATCTCCAGTATCGTCCCAGTTGGGTAGCTGTACTCTCCGTCCATTGTTGTAGATGCTTGCGGTGCAGTTCACCCAGTTGATCTCGGGGTTGAATCTTTTTAGGAAGTCTCGCCCGAGGATGAGGTCAAGCCTTATGATGTTGGTGATGGGGAGTGCAGGTCTCCAGCGCAGTGGTCCAATTTGTAGGTGTAGCACTGCTTCGCCGTGTACTGGTAACTTGCTGCCGTCCACCATCGTTGCAGAGAATCTTGAAGGCTTGTACTCTTCCCGAATTCGGTCGATTACTGCCTTGTCGCAGACGGTGTGTGATGCTCCGCTGTCCACGAGTGCTTGGAGGCGTCGTCCTTTGCAGATGACCTCGAGCACGAGGGGCAGTCGTTGCTGGGAGTACCCAAAGATAGTTTCATTGATTGGGTAATAGGGTACATCCCAATATTCCGTACACACCTTTGTGTTGCTATCTACTCCTGAGCTGGCAGCTGGCCGAGGCTGCTTGGAGAACGGCTCTTCTCCAGGGCCTGGAGTTTCCTTGACGACTGTGCGCGTCACTGATGCCGAAGAACTGGATGCATCCGGAGGAGGAGTTTGGGGTTTGTGCAGCTTCTTATAAACCCCCAGCTTCCTCTTGAGCTGCTTCACCTCCACCGACGTCTTCCCTGGGGAACGGGTAGTCGTTGTGAGCTGGTGTCGGGAGAGGACGTTGACTCCGTGGAAAGGTCGGCTTCTTTCCACACTCCTTAATTTTTTCCCCAAGTTGTCCGGTACCGGTATAATCTCCACAGTTGTCTGCTTCTTTTGGAGTCCTTCCCGAATTTTCTCCAATGCTCTAGCCCCTCGAACATCATAAGTTTTCATTAAAGCATCTTTATAAGATAACTTTAACGAATTCTTATAATTTCTTGGGTCTTCAAGGAGTTTCCGTGTCTCGGCTGAGTCTTTTTTCGCGGAGTCGTATTTTTCCTCGGCGATTTTCCCTGGCGAGGACTGGTCGTGGGGTGGAGATTTTCCCCCATCATTTCCTCCTTCTCGCGTCGAATCAGCTTCCTCGAAGTTGATTTTCCCGGAATGCCGCGGCCGCTTTCGGATCTTTTTATTTTCGCCAGCTAGATCCGCAATCACTGGCGACTCCCGTTTTTTGGCTTCTGATTGGCTGAAGGAATTCCTCCACTGTTGCGTGCCCGATACTCTGCGCGTGCGGCGTTCATTTTGCTGCAGTCGAAGATTCGATGACCCGGAACCTCGCAAAAATCACACGTGTAATTGGTGTTTTTCGGACGTGGCCACCCCTCGAATCTGTCGACTTCCATCGCGTCAGCGAACGTGGGGTGAGCCGAGCGGTCGCCTTGTCGCGTACTGCCGACGTGGGTCCGTCGTGTTCCGGCATTGACCATGTCGAAGCGCTCCGCTGCCGAAACGACGTCACTGTAGCTCGCGTAGTTTGACGTTGCGACTTGTCGTTTGACTTCGGTCTTCAGCCCGGCGAGGTACGATTGTACTGTTTCCCCTTCGGTCAGGTCGGGAATGCGGTTATAAAATTCCTCCATCTGCTGCGTGTACTGCGCTACACTCCCGAACTGTCGGTGTCGATGAATTTTTTCCCGGGCAAGGAAACTCGAATTTATCGGCTCGAAGCGTTTCAGCAGGTCGGTGCGGAACTGCTGCCACGTGGCTTCACCGTGGATGAAGGTACTGTTGCCGCCAATCCACTCAAATGCCGGCCCTCGCATTAGTGTCGCCGCGAGTCGTACACGTTGACCGTCCCAGACTGGCGAGCTCCATCCGACGGCTGCGAAGTAGATCTCCATCCCGGCGATCCATCTGCGGGCGTCGGAGTTTCGATCGCTCGGATCGAACGGCTCAGGTGGGCGTGGTTTCGGAGCCTCGAGAAACTGCTGCGACTACTGCGTCGTCGCCGTTGTCGTCTCGTGCTGCGCTCCGGCGAGTCGAGTTACTCGCTCGAACTAGTTTCGTCACGCTTCGCCATCCGCTCGCATTTCCTCCTGAAGGGCTGCGATGCGCGCGAAGAGCTGCTGGGTAACCTCGGCGTTGTCGAAGGTTGCCATCCTGTTCAAAACACGCACGGAGGGGGTAATTCGAAAATCGCGGAGCTAGTGCTTACCAGAATCGGCGTCGAATTGGTCGCCCCCGGCGGTTTTTCGAGGCAGGTTTTCCCGCTGCTGCTGCTTTGTTCAGCGCGGCCGAGTGAGAAAAGCTCTGATTACCAAGTGTCACAGGATCGAATGTGTCGAGGAAAGATTGCACTATCGATCAGTACAAGGCGCTTTTATACTTCCAAAGTACATCACGTAACCAGGTTTATCTTATCCTAGGGGAATAGACCCTTCTAGAAGATAGAATCATCCTGCGTATAGCCACGCGAGGCTATTGGCTTTAAGGGATTACAGCAGGATTACGCTAGATAGAGCACATCAGTACATCCCAAGCCTGGTCGGTGATATAATTATAATAGTAGGATAAACCAAAGGTTAACGGAAAAGGAAGAATAGCAAACCAAATGAGATAGAATAAAAGAGAAATGAAAAAGAAATGGTCGGGTTCTCCTGCTCCGCCTTCCCCGCGCGTCGAGCCCGGCTCACCAGTCTCCTATCGGAGGCGCCCAGTCCCTCCGGTCCCACCGTAGCCGCCTTTGTCTCCGGTCTCTAGTCGCACTCGTTCCAAATGGCGTTGGCAGACGGGTAGTTGTGGTAGGTTTCGACGAGTTCGGGAGGAGTGGTGCCCATGAAGACACTAATGACCGCACCATCGGTCTTCTCCCAATTCTTGTACTTGAGCAGTGCAGCAGCATAAACTGCTTCGGCGGCGGCATTAGCTGGATCGGCGGACCTCTCGGGTTTAGGAGGCTCTTTGCCGTCACCGATGCTGAGAAGGACGTCGGTGAGCTCGAGCCCCTTCACCTCGCGACTGAGGAGGTGCTTGTCGACACCATAGCGCCAAGCCTTGTAGTTGGAGCATGTGCCGTCCGGCTCGAGACGAGGGAGCGGGATCGGGTTGGCGAGTGAAGTGGTTGAGTAAGCCATTGTCGGTGTGCGGCGCGGCACTTCTGGAAAATGGTCGACGAGAATTGCTGAAAATCACTCTGATGGCTTTATCAAAATGCCGCTAAGTAGGAAATGGCATCGGCGAAAATTCGTTAAAACGCCGACTTGAAACTGAATCTGAGCCTATGTCTAACCCCGGACCCACACACCCCCCCACACACCCCCAGGCCCTGTCCCGCAGCTACACAGCTCCGCAACCAGCTCCGCAACCAGCTCCGCAACCAGCTCCGCAACCAGCTCCGCAACCAGCTCCGCAACCAGCTCCGCAACCAGCTCCGCTCCGCTTCAACCTGTGTACCTGCTCTTGCTTGACGCGAGACGTTCGTGGAGGCGATTTCGCGAGGGGAGTTCGCCTATTCTGGCGGGGTCTGAGGGGAAACTCGAGAACGAGTTTTAAGAGATGGTCGAAATTGAGATTCGACCAAGGAGAACCGAGGAGGAAATCGACGACGAGAAGCGTGAACGCTTCAGAGATGAGAAATTCAACGAGGTCGAGCGCGAAGGCGGTCGACGATGAGAGGCGTGACTGCAGAGTGGAGCACGTCGAAATTGCGACGACTCGAAACGAATGTCGCGACGATGAAGTGCGCGTAGCGCGGGCACGTTCAGATTTGGACCTTGATCCGCGTGTACGGATAGGTCGCTCTGATACCATGTAAGAAATAGAGTTGAAATGATTGATTAGGTAAGGAGCCCCCTCTATAAGTACATGGCAAGGTGAGAGTGAATGGATGAAGGGGGAATTGGAGGGAATCCCCATTGGGATCTGGAATCTCCAATTGGGTAATTGGAGATTGGGGGGATCACAATTGGGTGAAGTTGGGATTTGTGAGTACACCCCAACCCACTAGAACATTCATAACTTAAACTAGGATATTAAAGTACAGATATAAAAGTGGTATTTGCAGTCTATTTCTAACAGCCATGACTATACCCCCAGGTCGAGCACCCGCCTCAGCGCCCGCACCCTCAGAGCTCGTGGACCCCTGCAGCAGGTGCTGCTGCGGCGGCGGCGATGGCGGCCGCGGCTGCGGCGGCGACGGCGGCGAATGCTGCTATGGCTGCGGCGGCGGAGGAGGAGACACTGGGGCAGATTTAGGCGGCGAGACCGAAGCCGCAAGGCCCCCGGAGTCAGCCGACTTCTACACCGGGACAACCGACGGGTGGAGAGTGATGTGAGACACACTAGACGGGGCAGGACGGGGAGGAAGAGGAGCAGGGGCTACCGGGGAAGTGGGGACCAAGAACAGGGGTGGGGCAGCTGGGAGACCTCGGTGGGGAAAGCGGGTGTAGAAGGAAACAGACTCGTCAAAAGTGGAGTCACGAGAGTGAAAGAAACGGTGAGAGAGCGGGTGGTAAAAGTGTCAGTCAGACGCGTCGAGGGGGAAACCAAGGAAGACACACATGGGACAGTTCAGGCAGTGAGCTTGTTCGTGCTAGGCACGAACGTGAGCAAGGCAGCTCCAGACGTTGAACACAGATGCGTCACCAGAGAACCCGGTCCAGACAAGGGTAGGCAAAATCTGCGGCCGCTGAGAGTGTGGCCACATGTTAAGCTGGTGAGCGGTGTAGCGATCAGCGAACGGCCT